CCGAGCAGATCGTTCCCACATGCTTCCCCACCGCTCGGCTCTCCAGAGGTGTCAAGCCGGCCTGAAAGAATGAAGTGCCTCCCCATTGTGCTACCCAACTATTATGTGCTTAACATTTCCATGACAAAGATGCCACTCGACTTCTCCTCCATCCATTCAGATGGAGGGCCCTTGTCCCCAGCGCTAATAAAACATTTTGCAGCACATCATGGATGTAAAGCACCGACCGAAAGAGACAATTCTGCAACATCCTCCGTTTTTCTCCTATTATTTATTTATTTATTTGCAAATACTCAGAAATCAAATGAATTCAAATGCTACATAAATTTCCTAGTGAAAGATAACTGTTTGCAGAAATTTGTGTGAGTAAAGAAAATCGAGGCAAAGTTTTTAGCTGTCATTGACTTTCAGTGAAGAGCTGAGTGGTTGGTGGCTGTAGAGGGGGGTTTGTTGATTTATGGCGACAGTTGTTTTTGACAAAAGGCAGCTAAATCAAGACATTGCAGGTCATTAGGCTATCAGTCAGCAGGGGGAAACTTCAACGAGTGTGTACCAATGTAGTTACAGAAACAAAGGTTGGGGATAATCTTGGCAACATTTTAAAAAAGGCGAAAAGTCTTTAAAAATTTTAAGAAACAACACAAGGCTCTCTGACAAAGCTTTTCATCAGTTTTGTCAAATTATTGTATTTTATTTGATTAAAATAGAGCATATTAGCTGAGCAATACTACAGCTTTCAACAAAAGCCATGATTACTAACAAAAAGTGACCTCTTCTCTTATCTTTAGCCATCATGTAAAGTTTTATGAGCAAAAAAAAAAACATTCCACACTGATTTACATTACTGTCATTCAGTAGGCATAAAAATGGTTGCTAATGCAACGTGATCAGAAGTGCACATTAAAAAAAAACCTCTTAAGTGCTTGCAATACACCCTCTCCAAAATGTTCAGCCTTGCTCATTAAAGCTAATTAGATTTTTTTTGTTTGTTTATTGCATCCAAAGCATCAGTTTATAAATATCTACGACTGAGTCAAAACTTTACAAAACTCCATGAATCATCTGGTTTAACACTGTCAAATGAAGCAATGTGGCACAAATAGACAAACAACTCACAGTCGCAAATTTTATCTTCAAGTTTCCTTTATGCCTTCGGGGGAAAAGGATATCATTAAGGCAATAATACAGTGGATTTAGACATTTGCTTTTTAATCTAGACTTTACACCATGAATAAATCATCTCATAGCCTAAAACATAGAGGATTTTCTCAAGAAATAGCAAAGAAAATCTATATTAGCTATACACGTATTTACAGTGCATTTACACCATTTTCAGTCAAAATAAATTCCCTTTAAAGCTGAAATTCTCAGTCTTTATACACATGCTGGCTGTTTGGAGGCATGTAATAAATTACTGTTTCACTTTAACTCCTGATCTTATTTACAAGTTACATTAAATATTTGTAAATCAGGTATCAGTGGTGCCAAATGGCAACTGCCTTGTCATATACAAAAATAGTTCATACTTTACAGCTAAGGAGAAATATTGGCAGTGCACAGCTGATTAAAACAGGATGACAATCAGAGTCTGTGACCGGAAAAAGTAGGCAATCCTGTTTAGCTTATCTCATAAGCAAAGCATCTGCAGTGGTGTCAGATCTTTCTGATCCTTTTTTTTTTTTTTTTTTTTTTTTAGGATTATCCCTTTTTATTAGACCAGACACACTCAATCAATTTTAAAAG